TCTATCAACACATCAGGCTGCACAGCAGAGAAAAAAGTCCCAAGTGTTTAAGATAAACTTGAACTTGAAATGTAAAAGTTGACACTATGAGTCAAGCCAGGCACTCAGTACAACCTAAAATATTCATGAAGCGCCTTCAACCTAGTTTGTTTGATCTTTAATGTGTCATTCATTTGAAATGCTTAGCAAGGGCCATGCTGGGATTCTAAATCCTGTAATGGAAAAATTATTCCAGCTTATTGATACCAAAAAAGTCAAGCAAGTGTTAATATTAAATGATTGCCTCTTACCTGCTTTAATATCACCTGTGGAGACAACTAACTAACAGTAGAAATTCTTAATCAGTCAGAAGAATTAAAACTGCTAATGTTAGGGCCCATTTTCCCCTTTCAGGGGCTATGATTTTTTGAATCGTTTGAATAAGGTGAATATATGCGTAACGAAGGTGACCCTGATTCAGCCACTGAGGGTTGATGGTGGCAAGGTTTAATCTGCTTTCTCATAAACAGGTGAGTTGTTTCTCTCCAGTTCCTTTAGAAACTTTCACAAAAGAAAGCATCAACCAGGCTCAAAAGGGAACCTGAAGGTCTGATTGTTTTGAAGGCTTCTGAATATGATTTACATGCAGTGTCAGGGTTTGGAACGGAAGCCAGTGAAGGGACGATGATTAATATGGGAAGCTGTGCAGTAATGGGCTGTACAAAGTGATAAAAAGGCAGAGGACCTGTGTCTCAACCTTGGCTTCCAAATAGTCATCAAAATGTGTTTTCCCTCTTAAACTAGAAAATTGGCACTCTAGCAGCAGCATTTATATGTAGAGTACTTACTAAGGAATTCGTTTCTGATGCTAATTTTTGTGCTCAAAGTTCATGCTACATTGGCTATCCCCTAATTCCTAGTTTTATTTTACAGTTTGATTCTTAGCATATGGTAGACAGCACAATGTGTTTTCATTGTACCTGTAGTTAAGAAAATTACCTGTCTGCTTATTTTTTCGTTCCTCCTAACATGGATTATTGCATCATGTTATTTATGTATCAATTTAATTACATCAAGAGGGATTATTTAATTACATTGAAGATGTCATTAGCGTTATCACCTAAGAAAATATAGGGGAAAAGTTAGTAATATCCTTTCCTATTTAACTTGATACTCACTAAATTTTCCCTAGTATTTATTTCAAAGATGAATTGCCTTATAAATCTGTTTACTATTTATACCTGTAACATGTTATGGAAATATGTTTTCCCTCTAGAAAAAATATATATGATTATATGGAGAGAGAGAGAGAGAGAGAGAGAGAGAGAGAGAGAGAGAGAGAAGCGAGGCAAAGTGGTGCACCTGTAACCCCAGCACCCTGAAAGTCTGAAGCAGGAGGATTCCAAATTTGAGCCCACTTTGGGCAATTTAGTGATTTTGAAGGAATTTACCTCAAAATGAAAATGGACTGGGAGGTGTAGCTCAGTGTGCATACTCTACATTCAGTCTCCGGCACTGGAAAGAAAAGAACAAGAGAAAAGAAAACAATTCAAGCACAATTTAGAAATTGCAAAAATTTCTAAGAGAAAACATTGAACATCACTATGATACAAATATAACTGTAATGTAACTTTCTGTGAACTGTAAACAAACTGGATTGCCTCTCCCTCTGGCTTCCCTAGCACCCGGCCCCATTCCGCTCTTTTCCTCTTTCCTGAACTCTTCAAATAAACTGTCGTTGCACCTCCCACAGGCTTCACACATGGACATGTGTCTTACGCAGACCTTCTTTTTTCTCTTCCTCTTTTCCCCAAAAATCCTCTATTTAGCTTGATTTTTAGTTGACTGAAACTCCAGAAAACCACAGATTCTTCTATGTACTTTACACTTTCATTACACTGTAATTTTACATTGATTTGTGTAGTCATTTGATGAATGCCTGTCTTTCAGCTGTCACCTCTATAAATACAAGGACTGTTTTTTCCTTTCAATATTTTATCCCAAGGAACTATAGCACTATAATTGTTTAATAAAATTTTCCTGCGAAAGAAATTGGAGTTAAGAATTACATTCACATAAATAAAGAGCAAAATAAAAGATAATTACCCGAAATAGAGAGACAGCTCTTTTGAAAAGGGGAAGGGAACCAAGTAATGGAGGGGAGAGGAGAGGGGAGTGATGAGAACAGAATTAAGATTGTGCAAGTGTGCCAGTTTTGCATTCAGGAGGTGAGCATATGTACTGCAAACATATACTAATAAAATAAATTAAAATTGAAAAAATAATAATTAGTCATATAATTTTGCCTGTTTTAGCCTATTATCCTATTGAGAGCTGAGCATTTAGGAGTGTATCTGTACATAACTGCCTTGTGATAGACATTACACTTTACTAGAAATGCATGAATTAGCATAACTCAATAAATTTTCACAAAATGAGCATTCATATAATCAGCACTGTACCCTTGTCCTAGATTTGTCCATGATATGTATTCCAGTAATAACCATTACTTCAAAGGTAGCCACAATCTACACCTCCCATAGAAGATTTCTATCAGATTCTCTTTTTTAAAATCTGATTTATATATGTTACATTTTTGAAATTCAGCCATGTTGATCTGTGTGTGCAGTTCATTCATTTTCATAGCTTAATCATATTTCATTAAACAAACATTAGACTGATGTCTTTTTTACAAATATTATCTGTTTCACAGTGGTGGACATTTGGTTGCTATTTTTTAGCTATGCATGTCCTCCAATAGACATACATGTGTTTCTCTAGGTACACACTAAGGAATGGATGGTATGTTATTCAAATATGCTGCCTTAATTGATTCTTCCAAGCATATTTAAGGAAGAGTTACACCAATATACACTTTCATCAGTGATAGTAAGAGCTCCTGTCCACATCTTCAGCAGGACTTGGAAATGAGTATCTGCCCCTTTCATATTGCAGTGATCTGCAAAGGGTACATGTCTTGTGATTTATTTTGACCTTTAATACACTTTCTAAACTTGTAAGTATACCTTGTTTCACATGGGTGCACCATGTTACCTTGGCTTGAGTTTACATCCTAGAAAACAGGAACCATACGCTAGACAATTATCAGTCCTTGCATTTAATATAACAAATATGATAATATACCTTGTTAGAGTAAATCTTACTTCTGTCTGTTAAAAGACAGCAGATAGAGTGGGATAAGGAAGACCTCAGAAAAGAAACAATACTTGGGTATTTTATCAAAAAAGACAAACATTGATTAGAGGATATCTCTTAGTATTTGTTAAATTTTATTTTTCTTTTATGTAGTCATCCACTCAGCTCTGTATTTATGCTGAATAAACCATATGAACATGTCTTAGTTAATTTCCCAATCCCTACTCTGTACATTCAAAAGGTAATAAAAATTGTATTTTCTCGGACAGTGTGCTTGACTAAATTTCTTTAGAAGAGTTTTTTTTTTTTTTATGATCTAGCTAAGTTATTTCTATTTAATTACTGATCAGTATCAAATTCAACAGAAGTTACAGTCTTAATACTGCGCTCACATTTACTCCTTTAAGAGAAAACAGTGTCCTGTGTACCTAAAAGTTATATCTAGCCATCTAAGACATAAAGAAAGTCCTGTGAGAATTCTCTTTTACCCAGTAGCTTTCAAAACAGGCAAAAAAAGGTAAGAAAAAAATAGCACCCTCTCCTAAATGCCTTGATCATATTTAATAGTAACAGTTCTTCACTGAAAATAAGAGATTTCTATGGAAATGATAATCACCCTCCTGTGAGTATATAGAACTAATAAAACCTGAAGAGTATGTACAGGTCAGCAGGCACTGAAGGTTCTGTCCTGGGGATAAATTTCTAAATAACCCAGAGGAGAAAAAGAGAGAGGGAGGAAAGGAAAAAGTGTTTTAACTTCATGGAAGTAAAATGTGCACACTTAACAGTTTCTGGATTATCATTTAATTATGGCTATCAATCACCTTACATGTGCTTTCTCCAAGTACTCAAGAAATTTCATATAAAGCCATATGACCCAACCAACAGATAATATGTAGGTCATTAAGAATCCTAAAGATTGAAAGCAATATTTAAGAAATTGCTCTGTAGGTTTTAGTAAATTACCTTAAAAAACACAACAGTAGCATTCATCTTTCAATCAATTCTAGAAAAACCAAGCTGTCTTTAATTAATAAAATGAACGTGGCTTATTTCTCTATATCAGTACATAGCCTACTGATAATTTTCAAAGGGACTCTCTTTTTAATTTATTTATTTCAATCTATATTTTCACTAATGTGTGAACCGACATGCAGTTAGTCATTTTATAAGCATGATATTATATTCTTTTTAAATGAGCACAATTTCAAGTTGAGCTGTTGGAAATACATTTATTTTATTAATTGGTGCTGGGGGATGCCAACAAATATCTTTATGAATAACGTCTTTGAAGGTTTAAAATGTTTTAATTTTTTCTCATTGAAAAAGCTTATACTGACTGTTTCTAAACTTTACAACTCAAGAGTTAAATGATGTTAGTCTTTCTAAGCCCAAATGAGTTTAGAAAAGTGTTTTGACCATGGTAATCCTTTGTCCTGCATTTATCTCCCATCAGGTACCTAAATGCTTCCTTCTTCTCAGCTAGATGATTGCAGTGGGGTTGGAACCACACAGAGGAGTTGGACTAGTGCTGAACAGTGGCCATGAAAAGAAGTGTCACCTTGGTAGAAAAAAATAGGCTGAGACTATAATCTCTCCCTTCAATTATTTCTTAAGCCATAAATGCCCAACAGAAAGCTAGTCATTTATTTGTCTACAGAAATATTTGTTGGCAGTTCTGTATGGTTTTTAACTTGTTTTAGTTCTGTATGGCACTGATTCCCATTAGAGCAATCTTCTCTCAAGTACCACCTTTGTTTTCTCTCTAAATATGGATTTCAGCACAATGTTGTTTTGGCCCATAGCCCTTAAGATTCTTTGTGTTTTAAAAATAATGATTTGTTTATTCCATATTTTGCCAACAGAGTTCATCTGGTGATTTAATGATCAGAAACATTCAGCTGAGGCACAGTGGAAAGTACGTCTGTATGGTCCAAACTGGGGTAGACAGCGTTTCATCTGCCGCTGAACTTATAGTAAGAGGTAAATGTTAATGTCTGTTATGATTTTATTTTTCAACTTCATATGTTAACTGAGCATTCCTTACTGGAGGAAGAAATGTAATGAGGTAACAAATGAGCATGAAAGTTATAATATTGATTTGATTCCCCAAAGACAAATCATGACAATAAAAATGGGTGTTAATTGAAAGAAATAAAAAGTTTAACTCTGTCTTTCAAATAGTTCCCATCATAATTGCCATACCTTACCTACTTCCAAGCTTGGTTTTGAATATACCATTAATTCAGTAAACATATTTTATGTGAGAGAGAATATTGTGTGTATGACTGCTTCCAAAGGAATCAAAATTATTCAGAATGCCCCAGACAATTTGCCAGCCCGATCCGCTGTCCATGGTACTGAATTGCCACTGGTCTGAAAAATGACTAGAGTGCATCAGAGAATGAAAGACTTTAGACAACAGCAGTGTGAACGGCAGTCACACCAGTGGATTTAGACAAATGCATCCCACCAAAGAAAAGGGCACTGAATTTAGAAAGGTATGAGAATACTGCCAAATGGAGGCCTCAAAAAGGGTGTCACTTTCAATCATGTTGTCATAGGATTTTCGAATTGCTATTTTACATCCAGATTTAAGATATAACAATGCTGAAGTGGAAAAAAAATGACAGTATTAGTGTCAGATAGAGACCTTTTTTCTTAAGTGCTTTTGAAATTGGAATAGGTTAGAGGTATTAACGTAGTCATATGATATTCTCTTCACTCTGGTAGGAGAAGAAGATGACATTTATGGAATTGCTACCCATTGTTTGCATTCTTGCCTTCCTTAGGTTCACCTGGACCACCAAAAAATGTGAAAGTTGATGAAATTACAGACACAACAGCCCAACTGTCTTGGAGAGAAGGCATAGACAATCACAGCCCAGTCACATCATATGCTATCCAGGCTAGAACACCTTTCTCCGTGGGCTGGCAAACTGTCACAACAGGTAAAAGGTGAAGGGAAGGTGCCAGAGACTCATGTAGATGGATTTCAGATCAGTGTTAGGGCCTGCAGACTCTTACCTCCCTGAAATGTTCCTTTGTAGTGCCTGAGGTCATCGATGGGAAAACACACACAGCTACTGTGGTCGAGTTAAATCCTTGGGTGGAATATGAATTTCGGGTTGTAGCCAGTAACAAAATCGGAGGTGGAGAACCCAGTTTTCCCTCAGAAAAAGTAAGAACTGAAGAGGCAGGTTAGTGTTTTTGTTTTCTGAGTAATGGCTTAATAGATTTCTTTGGGTACGTATTTCAATTTCCTTGGTCCCTAGACTCAAGGCAAGGAGGGGATTTGTCTCAATAATCCATTGTCACAATTACCTTACCTTTCTAATGGAAGAATTTGCCATATGGCATTTGTCAAAAGAAACACATGTAAATTATTCTGATGTAGTGTGACATTTCCAAGAGTTCATTCCATCATAAATGATCATTAGTGCATGTTTAGTGAGTATGTTTTTGTCATTTATGGTTTTAATTACTAACTGACATAGTTACCCTGTTAGGAAGGGATGTGCTGTTTTCACATATAACAAACATTGACAAATTGGTAAGATAATGATGTTTGGGAGTCTCACTGCTAGGGAATCTCTTTCTCCCACCAAGCTTGGAAAATGAGCTTCAGCAGTTGATGAATAGTGTATTTTGGCCTCTCAAGTGTTAAATTAAAAATGAATTAGCATTTGAATTATCATGGGAGTCACCTATTAATATAAACCATAAAACTACTTTTATAAATCTAAAGTGTCTTAATATTCAACCTCAAAATTTGAAAGTATACATAACATCACATAGAGACAGCTGAAGGGGCCTAAATACTTTCTTCTGTACAATGTGTCATATTAATTAATATTAACTAAAATGGTATTTGGAATAGAACTAACATATCATATTAGGAACTGGGATATAGTATCAGTTATGGAATATGTTTTCCATAATTTTAATGATGCTATTCTACTCAATAAAGGAAGGTTTATGAACAATAGGACACTGTGCCTCCTTTAGTGTTCCTCTGTTCAAATAACACATATTTGGCCTGTGACTGCTATGTGCTCAATACTTGTAGATATTTCAGATACTGTTAGGAGTATGACAGAGATCTGACTTTGCATAGTTACACTGTAATTGTATCATAGAGTTTACTAAACATACAGTTCTTATGGTTAGTGGAGGAATCTGATGTCTGTATGAAGCTTATAAAAAGTATCTCCCAACAGGATTTGAGGTTTTCAGTCTTTGACCTTCTTATATAAAGTCAATGTCATTCTGAGATTTGTATCACTTGGAGTAATCACACATTAGATGACCATGCTGGATCAGTTCCCTATTATTCCTAGGGAACCACTTTTCCCTATTTTATTAACCTTCACACTAGTTTCAAAGCCTCTTTAAATTTTTTCTTATTCTATGAGATTTTAAATATTTCATAATTTCACAAAAATAACAATTATTTGAAGACCTAACCAGAATCTTTTCTAATTTCATGCAAATCTAAATAATTTCAAAAGCTGACGAAATAGCTCAGTGGTAGATCATTTGCCTAGCATGTACCAAACCTGGGATCTATCCCCAGCATGGCACAGAAATAAACTATTGTGATTCTCTAATTTTACACATGTAAAATCCATGTGTATGTACTCATGTACGTGCATATATGTATTATGTGTCAATGATTAAATTATTCCAAATACTAACAATAAGTAACATTGAGGCCTCTTTCAGATAAATATTACTGTATGCAAATAGGGTGTCATCTCTGTGTTTCTGACCCACACAGTTCCAGAAGTGCCTCCTTCTGAAGTCAATGGAGGAGGTGGAAGCCGGTCTGAACTGGTGATAACCTGGGATGTAAGTGTTTGGGCAGCATCTTCCTCTTCAGGATGTTGCTGTTCTCATAGTCACAGCCTCTTCTGTGGTACCAAGCTGTGGGTGTTGGCACTGGTGCTCTTGGTGAGGATGCTGACACTGGAAGTGCTGGTAGTGATGCTGATGGTGTTGGTACTGGTGCTTATGGTGGTGCTGGTACATGAAGATAATAGTGCTGTTTGGGATGGGAGTTCTGGTGGTGAGGGAGCTTGTGCTACTGCTACTAGAGTTGGTGGTAAGATGCTAGTACCACCAATGTTGTAGCTGGTGCCAGTGGTAAGGATGCTCGGACTCCGAGTGTTGATGCCAGGGGTGGAGATGCTCATGCTGGTGGTGCTAATAGTGCTGGCGCTAAAGGAAGGAGCCAGTAGTGCTGATGGTTCTGCTGATGCTGGTCCTGGTGGTGTTGGTAGTGGCAGTGGTGGTGCTGCTGCTTTACTTCTGTGGTGCTGGTGGCAGTGATGCTGTTGGGAGTGCTGCTGGTGATAATGACAGCAGTGGTGGTGCTGATGAAGGTTGTGCTGGTGCTGGATTGGTCCTAATGGTACTGCTTTCAGTGGTCCTGGTGCTGGTTCTAGGGATACTAGTGCTGATAGTGACGCTGATGATGTTGGTGGTACTGCTGGTACTTATAGTGGTGCTGTTGATACTGCATATATGGTGTCATGACTGCTGATTCCACTGATGGTGCTGGCTGTTCTGGAACTGGTGGTGGTACTCATAGTGGGATTAGTACTGACACCGGTGGTACTGCTAGTACTGATGCTGGTAGCACCACTGATGCTGGTGCAGGTAGTAGTGCTGTTGAGACTGATGGAATTGAGGGTGATAGTCCTGTTAATGATGCCGGTAGTAGTGGTCTTTCTCTTAATTTTAGTGATACTCGTGGTATTCTCGATGCAGTGCTGGTGATAATACTAATGATGTTATTTCAGGTAGTGCATCTGATTCTGGCCATACTAGTGGTTCAGGTGATGGAAGCATTGGTACTGGCAGGCAATGGGGTGTTTGTTCAAGTGCAGAGGCTCAGGCTGGTGGCGCTGGCATTGGCGGTGCTCATCGTAGTGGCTGGTTCGAATGGTGCTGGCGCAGCTTGTGGTATATGTGATTATTTATGTAATGCTTCTGCTGCTAGTGTTGGTGATATAGCTAATGGAATAGGCACTGGTGCTAAAAGTTCCAGTGGTGGTGGCGATGCTGGTGCTCATGTGTCACTGCTACTGGTGATTTCAATCCTGATATTAGTGGCATTTGTGGTAGTGATGGTGGTGTTGATGATGCTATATAGTATTAATGGCATTTCTCATGATTCTAATGCTGGTGATGATGGTAGTAGTGGTAGTTAAGATATTTGAGTACTCTATGCTCCCCACTATTTCTATCATTTTACATGTATTTTTTTCATCCTATTTTGCAACATTTTATATATGTAAACGCCAGTGCACAGAGGTAGTGAACAATTTCCTCAAGGTCACCTGGCACTTTGACAGATGGATGAGAGTCAGATCCTAGCTGTTGACCCTTGCCATACCCTGAAAGCTTTCCCTGTAGCCCTGTGTTTTCCACTGTTGAGGTCACACCTTCCAACTGATGCTTGAGTCTCTCTTTCCTTGCCATCCTCTCATTCTCTGATTTATATCGTAATGGGGTGGGTTTAAAGTCATGAGATACTAGAACTAAATTTATCTGTATTTCAAAATGTTGGTGAAAAATAAAAAGACATAATCTCGTGATGGATTGTCAGTAGAATTTCTGAATGAGCCAAATATAGCTTTGATTTAGTAAGAGTAAGTCAAAATTTTTAAGAACTCCCTTATATTTAATCATTATACCCAGATGTAATTTCTTTCTATAAAGTCAGTATTAAGAAATAGCTGTTCTTTATTTGATTTAAGATCTCTGACTGAAAATTCCTTTTTAGAAGTTCAGACTTGGGACAAAAGATATTTGGAAACCTACATAATCACAGAAAATTCTATTTAATTCTCTGGATGTTTATGAATGAGCAGTATATGTTTAAAAGCAGCTGACTTGACTTTCCCATTAGTATTTTTCTCTTCTTAATCCAACTCCTTAATCCAGTGTAGATTTTTATTTGATGGTCTTTACAAAAAGCTGAGAATGATAGTTGCATTTACTTTTACCTTGCCCTAGGTGTAAGGGTGATTTTGTATGTCCTTTCTTTGTAGCCAGTTCCTGAAGAATTGCAGAATGGTGAAGGTTTTGGGTATGTCGTTGCCTTCCGCCCTCTTGGAATTACCACCTGGATACAGACAGTGGTGACATCTCCTGATACCCCAAGATATGTCTTTAGAAATGAAAGCATTGTGCCATTTTCACCATATGAAGTTAAAGTGGGTGTTTATAATAACAAAGGTGAAGGACCATTTAGCCCAGTGACGACAGTGTTCTCTGCAGAAGAAGGTATGGAAAACATCAGTCTCAGCATAATAATATAGTTGTGCCCAAAAAGTGACTTACAAGTGCTTTGTGACTTCAGATATATTTTCTTCAGAGGAACAATAACAGTTTCTTAGTTCAGATCAAAATGATTGACTATAATTGACCTAGAGTATAAGACTTAGTGGATCATAAGCAGATATATTAGTTGGTTAAAAATGAGTTCATGAGGAATCCACCCTGAATTCCAACCTGTGGAGTAGTAAATGTTGTCCACAGGCCATTTTTCTTCTTGATATAATAATGAGATAGTCTCTGGGAGCTGCCTCAGTCCAAAGTTTATAGAGGTCCCTATGGCCCGCCAAAATGGATATTAATAGCATACTAAAGATCACAAGTATGACATTCAAGGCTTAGGAATGTGTAGCTTTACAGGATATGCATTGCAACTGGAATAGATGCAAGAAATTTCCCTCTGAACCCATTCTTTTATGCTGCCTTTCTTTTAAATTGCTCCAGATATTGAGACATCTGCATTTTTTCTCAAAAGCCCTTTAGAAAATAATAACAAAGTTAGAGGGACTGTACAAAATTGCCATTTTATCCATCTATAATGCCTGAATATTGGTTGTAACATGTACTTCAATTTAACAAAGAAGGCAGGATGTAACATGTATTGAAAACTTGCCATCTGCCAGGCATTACCTACTTTGATTTTCCAAATAAAAAATGAGTTATATGCAATATTTGTGTTACCCTTTTACAAACAAGACAACATAAGCTCAATAAAAGAGATTGCTAAACTTATCAAAATTCATTTAATAAATGCCAGGCCAATAGTTTAATAAAGGGCCTTTGGCCTTCACCAGCCTAAACTCATGCCACAGTGTCCCTCTGTACATTGCAGAATTTGTAGTAAATTGCAAAAGCTAAAAATAATAAGTAGACTGGGTTTTTCTTAGAGCTCCCATCCTGTTTTTTTTTTTTTGTTTGTTTGTTTGTTTTTTGTTTTTTCATTAGAAAATTTTTGAATAGAAACTGAGTTCAAGTGGTACAAAAGTCATTGGAAAAGTGTCTTTTCTTCATATTGTATTACAAAGCAGACTCCCATTTCCAACAGTTATTAGAAATTACGAAGGCAATTAGAGGTCAAGGCAGTGACGGTGATTAACCAGGGAGTTTTTGGACCCTGTGTGACCTGTATCATTAGTGCTGGGTGCCTGCACGGCCTTTTACCTGTTCTCGCCCCCCTCACATCCTTTCTTCTGTCACCATCCTTGCCCTCAATGATGAGTTAGTAAAAGGCTTTCTGTTCAAACACCAGAAATAAATTCAGCTTGCCTAAGAAAAAATGGAGGGACTTATTGGAAATCTGCTAGGGCATCCTCTGGGAATCAAGTAAAGAGTTAGAAAGCCAACCTCCTGAAGAACTTTAATCAGTGAAGCCCTGGGGCTCAAGAAATGATACGCTCCTCTGGTGTGCCAGTGCCAAAGTGATTGACCCCTAGCACTCCTCATCTCCTCAAATTAAAGTTCAGATTCTCAGGAGAGAAAATTGAATAGGCCCATTCTGAAACCAAGACTCTGTCTCAGCATCAAGCAACCATAGCCAAGAAGCGGCATCATTTAACACAGGAATGGATATTGAGGAATTGGGGTCTCCTACTGAAAAGTAAGTCTTCGGAATGGAGAATCACTGTGGATCCTCCAAATCCCAGGAGTATTTATTATAGAGGGGATGTACCTACAGCGTATCACATGTGTATGTCTTATCTCCTGAAGAGTCTGCATCCATCTAATTTAAATATGTCCCATCTGGGGGCTGAACTAGAGAAGGCACTCCATGCTTATTGAGCAAATAACTCTGCCTGATTTTGACCTTAATTTAATTACACAAAAATAAGTAGCATTTAAAAACAAAGGAGTTCTCAGGTAGCTGATCTGAAATGAAAGAAAAAGTAACAAAGACAGGGTGCAGAGAACAAAGGAAAAATAAAGGAAGAAAATGAAGACCAAGGAAATGGTGGGGAGGAGGAAAGTACAAGCTTCTAGGGCCATGAAGCAAGGAAAATCTCGTGGCCATGATGCCAGCTCTTCCTCAGCCACAGACTAGCTTCTGTGTTGTCAAGACTTGGGTATGTTGCCAAAAGTTTTTACAGAATACATATAAAATTTTCACATACACTGAAATGCTTTTAAAAATATTTCCAATTTTTAAAAATTTAAGTACCAAAATTATCATTATATTTCTATGTCTGTTCCTAAACAGAGCCCACAGTAGCGCCATCTCAGGTGTCTGCTCATAGCCTGTCTTCCTCAGAAATTGAAGTTGCATGGAACACGATTCCGTGGAAGTTAAGCAATGGTCATTTACTTGGCTATGAGGTAATTTATTTTAAACTTACTTCCTGTTTGCATGTTACCATATTACCTTGTGTTCGTTCATTTTAAAATCTTAGGTGTGTTCTGTCTGTAGTTGAAATTTTTCCAAAAGCACGTTGTTTGATCTAATCATCAGTGGATACACATCAGTGGATACAACTTAACCTGTTGAATTACATAACTTTAATTCAAGTAGAAAGGAACTGACAACTAAAATAAAAGGAAACTCACTTATCATGATGGTGGAATCTGATACATGATGTGTCAGTCACCTTATCATTACTAACACAAAATACCTAAGAAAGTCAATTTAAGGGAGAAAAGATTAATTCTGGTTTATGATTTCAGAAGTTTCAGTCCATGACCAGCTGAATTCATTGCTCTTAGGGCTATGATAAAACAGAGACATGGTACTAGGCTGTGGCAGAGGAAGGCTGGTGACCTTAAGGCAGTCAGCAATCAGGAAGGAAAGAAAGGAACAGGGAAAAAGAAAGACAGAGAGAGAAAGAGAGAAACAGGGAGGGAGGAGGGAGGGACAGGCAGACAGAGATCGGTCTAGTTGGCTTTGTCCTACTTTTATTCTTACTGAGCGCCTTCCCATACTGGATGGTGCTGTCCACATGCAGAACAGGTCACCTCCCTCGGTTGGCTGTCCCACATGCCAGTCATCTCTGGAAACATCCAGACAAACCTAGAAGTGTGATTTTCAGTCTCCTGGATACCTTCATCAAGTTGACAGTCGAGGTGAACTTTACAGATGAGTTGACTTAAAATAAGGGTAAACTCAAACTCCAATATTAAATTTAACATTTGGTCATGTCAATGAGAAATCACTTTTCTCCAGCTCTTTGGCATACTTTCTTGGTGATTTTGTTATGTTATGAGATTCTCTTCTAGACTTTAGAGAACTCAGCTGCCTGTAATGTAATTCTTTCTTCCAAAGGCCTTTTTGTTTAGTGAAATAAGATGAAATATCTGAAAACGGATACAACATAACACCAAATACATTGAAAGTCAGAACAGGTCATGCAGGCAGGAAATATTTGAATAAAAAATATGAGCCCATCTTGACAGGATTCCTGGGGTGGTGAGGTTTAACAAAGACTTCAAAGGAAAATAAAGCAGGCATGGTGGGAGTGAAAACATTCCAGATTGAGCGCTGTGTAAGTTTGGGGAGCAGAGGGGTAGAGGTCCTCTGTGAAATAAAGTTCCATTAGAGCGAGTGATTAAAGAAGTGCACAGTGGTCAGATCAAAGATAGTTTTGAATCCTATGCATAATTATTTGGACTGGATGCCATATATAGTGTGGAACAGTGAAGCTAGGAAGTGACAATATAAGGTTTTAAGATTTGTCCAACAATGATTTTATAGGGATCATAGTAATTGGGTTTTCATCTTGTCATATCAGTCTTCCTTATCATTACTAAAACAAAATACCTAAGAAAGTCAATTTAAGGGAGAATAGGTTAATTCTGGTTTATGATTTCAGAAGTCTCAGTCCATGACCAGCTGAATTCATTGCTCTTAGGGCTATGATAAAGCAGAGACATGGCAGTAGGCTGTGGCAGAGGAAGGCTGGTGACCTTAAGGCAGTCAGCAATCAGAAAATGTCTCTCACATGTATAACTCTTGATTCGGTCACATATCCACAGGCATGTTTACATCACATAGCTACATATCCTCTATATGCCATAAATGCTTGTACCATAGCAGCCACATGATCAAAGGCAGGGGTCTTTGGGCCATGGGCTGAATTGGTCACATTCTTGTTTAAGACATTTAAGTAAACAATATAGAGATTAGTGTTAGTAAACATGAGGCAGGCAGATTTATGGCATAGTACGTCCTTCTTGTGATACAGTCACAGGCAAGCAGCAGAAAGCTGATCTGTGCAGATGAGGTGGGATGGATATGCTCTTGTCACCTAAAGGATAGAGGAAATGAAAGTCAGTGAAATCTCAAAGAGAGCATAGCAGAACAGTTCTTGGACAATTGCCCAAATCTCCAGTTCCCAGACTATATTCTTTTCCATATTACTTTGTTTTTCTCCCCCAATAAATTTGCTTTGTAATTGAACACCTTTGAAAGCATTTTTGTGTTTTTATCCAAACAAGGATTGATGTGCATAAATTAGAGAAAGGACAAACACTCAAGCAGTGATGGTTAAAGTAAAGCTCATGGAGCCCCTTGCCAAGAATTACTTAAATTTACCATGAAAGTGATGAAATCACACTCACCAAACCCACATCTAGGGCTTTTTGGTAATACACATGTTAAAAAGTATAGTATCTGTATGGAAACATCTTTCCCCATACTTCATTATAAGAAAACCTTCAAAACATAGAGAAACCAGATCAGAAACAGTTTTCCAGAGTTAAGGAAATTGAAGAAGTAAACCACACACTAATACAGTAAGACAAGCGAACCAAGAAGAGTTGATGAGAAGAATATCTAATTCCATGGCAGTGGATAGAAGTAGTGACTTAGGAAGAGGAAGCCATAGTTGGAACTGGGACAGAGCAGCTAAGTGGGGTGGACGGAGGAGAACAGCTATAAAGTAGTGGACCCCAAACCAGTGCCAAATCTGCCACTTCTTGCCTGTGTTGACAAAGTGACATGAACTCTGTGTGCCTCATTTTCCTCACCTGCCAAATAAGGAGAGCGATAGACCTAACCTCAGAAGGATTCAGAGAGGCATGAATGAGGTGTCAAAGGTAATAGACTTCTCATCATTTCAGGCTTATAATAAGCTACCCATTGGCTCATGCCATATCTCAGAAGAATTTTTCAGATATTCTTTTATCTATTTTGCCCTAACAAACATTCAACTCTAAGCTCCCCTCCTTCAGGGTAGTTTATGGAAAGCTACCAAGAAGAGTTATCTTCCCTTTAGCTTTATTTCCAAAGTTCAGGACCTTAAAAAGATTGTGCCAGGTATCCTCAATGGTGAGAACAGAAAAATGCAACCAGGAATAAAGAGAAGAAATATTTTGGAGAAAATGTTAGGGGGCTTTGAAAATCTCCTTGGGTCTACCTCTTCTCAGACCTAGGTTGGTGATCAAAGAAGGGAAAACCTTCCCTCACTGAACAGTAATATTCAGGGTGGCCCTGAAATGTTAGCAATAAAGGCATCGAATCATTTTGTTTGTTACCGTGCAAAGGCTTTGAGAAAGGAGTCACAGGAGTGACTGTGACTTAATTCCCCATTAGTTGACTACTTAAAGAAAATAAATGAAAACATTTCATGCTGCTCACTTGAGGAACTGAAATATACTTCAACCCTGAGGAACTTTCCCCTTATGCCAGGTTCACAATTCTGATTTTGTTGTGCCTTGTGAAATAATTAAGAGAAATAAATATAGATACCAACTTCAGGCCCTGTAGGACTGTTAGCAACTACTGGTGATTGTTGGATAGCATGGGCAGGAGAGAGAGATTTTTTTAAATATATAAATTTAAAATTATAAAGAATCTTTTAAAAAGGATATTCTGCACGAAAGTAGTACCACCACACTGTTGATCATGTTGAAGAGTGTTTTATGTATGGAGAGGAGAATTCTAGTGGAAACATGCTGGTGCGTGGTTAAGACACCCACCATTTTAGAAGTACACAAGCCTGCATTCAAATCAACCGGATTGTAACATGAGGTTCACAAGAGATAGGGTACTCTGCTTGTTTGTTCAGTAATGTTTTCCAAGGGGCCAGAGTGGTTAGTATCTTGCATTTGGTGTGGTGGAGCAAAGAAATCTGTTGGAGGTGTGCAAAAATGCGTCAATTGAATAAACATAATTTTGGATTTGCTATTTCACCCCTGCATGTCCTTGAGCAGCTTACTAATGCTCCCTAAGGCTCAGTTAAAATAGAGATAATAATAGTCAATAACTCACAACTTCATTTGAGAATTAAATGAGATAAAGCAGCCATTGTCGAAATGGCCCAAAGGGGCTGCAGCTTCTACTTTCTCTGTTTTGAATATTGGTCTTGAGGGTGAGATTTCACTGCAAGAAAAAAAAATTGAGAACTGTGAAGTAATACAGGAATACTCCGCACAGTCCCAGTGTGACCCCAGTGGTTATTAGTCCTATTGCCATTTGGAAGAGGCTAAAGGTAAGAGTAGCAAGAAAACAGGACTGACTTTTTTATATTAATTGTGGGCTGAAATGCATCATTTATTTTGTAAAGAACAGCAAACAGACTCTCCAAATGCAGTGTCAATGTTACGTTAAAGGACAACAATAATTGAAATTTCCTTCCCCAAGTACTTGATGTGTATGAAGAAGAAGAAACAAGTTAAAAGAAAGATGTACTAATTGGGAAAATCTTAAGAAATAATGTATGTAATTCTACCTAGACAAAAGTATGTCTTTTCTTAGTTTCAGGAAGGACTTTAAAATTAACCTAGAAAGCTAAATGACTTAGGAGAGTTATTTAATTATCAATCATGTGGCTAACTTTCTGGGTTGTGGTTTCACCAATTTGACTTTAAAACTGTTAATAGCTCCTGCCTTTCTCTCATCTCAGTGAGGGTTGATCATGTGCTATGCGGCATGCTGAGCACACATCATCATTAGCATCTAGACTAATTTTCTTTCTGATTTGACCAAGCAGTAGTGGAGGAGCTCTTTTCCCTAGGCTCTAATTTATTTCATCTGCTGAGCTGTTATGCCCAGGCTTAGATCTTGTCTAGTGCCCTTTTGGGTAGAACAAGAGAGGCAGATATGATAAAGATGAACCAGAACCTTTAAGTTCTGAGAGAGTGGCTGCCTGAGGAACAGAGCGCCAAGTTTCATGCCTAGTATACACTGTCAGTTTCTTTAAAGTCATTTTCTGTTCTGAAAGGATAACATATGGGAGTTCACCGTAGTGTGTTACATATTTTTTATGAATAATTAGAAGAGAAAAGCTTGAAAGCAACAAACAGAAGTAATAATGTTAATTACCCTGAATTGATTAATACAGCTTAAGTACAATTTTGAAATATCACACACTATCCCATAAATA